TCCCGCCCTCCCCCGTGCGTCGGTAGAGGTAGGGATGGGGGGAGCGGGGCCCTCTGGGAAAGGGCCTCGCTCCTCCGCCCCCTTTGGAGTGGGAAACTACTCTAGGGAAGAGGCGGGCAGGGAAGGTGGATGTCCCCTCTCTCCCGAAAGGTACCGGAAGGCCAACCCGATCGGCGTGCCGATCGGGGCACCGCGCCCTGACCTTCTCTTCGCGGAGAAGGGCTTGAGGGTGCGATACTTGGGCGTGGGGCTCCCTTGGAGCCCTGGGGCCGGGGTGTTGGGGAGGGAATGCTGGCGCAGTTCCCCTGACTCCCCCCATCTCGGTCCGACTGGTAGACATCCCGCAGGGGTTTTAGTGAGTAAGAGTCTCACATAATCCCCTGCCCCTCCCAGGGAGTGTACCCATGGTGTATCCCCTGCGTTATCAAAAAAAAAGGTTGTTTCTAAATAAGCAATACGACCGATTATTATCGCGGATCTTATAAGGCGAGCAATTCAGGTGCTATTGTGAGGATATTATTATTACTAGCATCTCTTCTGAACGTGCCAGCATCAAATATTGGTTACCAGCGAGTTTGTTTCTAAACAATCAACGTGACCGAATATTATCGCAGATCTGATAACTCGAGAAATTCAGGTGTTATTGGAAGAACCTTATTAGTCACCAGCGTTTCTTCCAAATACTAGAGCCCGATATTTGTCTCTAAACAACCCAGGCGACCGAATATTATCACGGATCTTATAAGTCGAGCAAATCCAATGTTATTATGATAACATTATTATTTATCGGTGTTTCTTTCAAACGTGTCAGCACCGAATATTGGGTACTGGCGTGTTTATTTCTAAACAAGTAACGCGACCGAATATTATCGCGGATCTTATAATCAGGTGTTATTGTGAGCACATTATTATTTACCGGCATTTTCTTTGTTTCAAACCTATCAGCACCGAGTATTGGTTAGCGGCGAGGTTGTGTCTATATAATCTTGTTTCACCTATGAATACCAAGCGACTCAGTGTGACGATTATATATATTACCTTTGTATTCTGACTCTTATTCTGATTATATTTTTTTTCTGTATAACTTTTATTTAATAAACGAGCCCCGAAGGGGGGCTCAAGACATTCTTCCTCTGACAAACTGCAGAGACATTATTCCAACCAGAACTCTCCTTGGCTAGCCCTTTACCGACGCATAACCATTACCGGCGACTCGCCGATATTGACAGTACAAGAGGTCGATCAAACTTCGAACCGAGGAAAGGGAGAAAAACGCTCGTGAAGTGCCAATGGACGAGGCACGCGTTTTACCCCCCCCCTCCCCCCGAGCGGAACCGTTACAATATTTTTTTAGATATTTGAAGCAAATTTGATAACATTTTCAATTTTTAACTTACGATATCTCACTAACTATTTGTCGGAAGAAAAAATGATACTAGACTTTTTTATTCTATTCGGTTGGCAAAAAAGTAATTTCGGTTTGCGCTAATAGATAGCGTTATGTTTGTGTCGTTATTCTTCTGTCAATGTTATAATTTTTTTCTTTTCAGATTTGGTAGTTGACACCCTTAGGTTACTATAGAAACAAATTCCGTGCAATTTTGTTTACAACTGTTGGTTTACGGTCAATTTTAACATGGAGTGCAAAAATGATTTTCGACATATTTTACTTTTTTATTTTCGTAAAGGCAAGAAAGCGGCTAAGGCTCACAAAGAGATATGTTAAGTTTATGGTGTTGGTTGCATAACAGAACGCACGTGTCAGAATTGGTTTAAAAAATTTCGTTCTGGAGATTTTTCACTTAAAGATGACCAACGTTCTGGCCGACCTTCTGAAGTTGATGAAGACAAAATGAAAGCCATAATTGAATCAAATCGTCATATAACTGTGCGAGAGATTGCATAAAGGTTAAATGTGTCACACAGAACAATTGAAAATCACATAAGACGTCTTGGACTCGTTAAAAAGCTGCATATTTGGGCGCACGAATTGAAAGAAATTCACTTAACACAACAGATCAATATTTGCGATATGCATTTCAAACGTAATGCAATCGATCCTTTTTTAAAGCGAATTATCATGGTGATGAAAAATGGATCGTCTACAACAACATTAGACGAAAAAGATCATGGTCCAAGCATGATGAACCGGCACAAACCATATCGAAAGCTGAATTGCATCAAAAAAAGAGCTGTCAATTTGATGGGATTACAAAGGTATTGTGTATTTTGAGATGCTTCCAAGCAACCAAACGATCAACTCAGATGTTTACTGTCAACGACTTATGAAATTGGAGGAAGCAATCAAAGAAAAAAGGCCAGAATTGGCAAATCGTAAAAGAATCGTGTTCCACCATGACAATGCGAGGCCCCATACATCTTTAGCAACACGTACGAAATTATTGGAGCTTGGTTGGCAAGTGATGTCGCATCCTCCATATAGCCCCGACCTTGCACCATCGGATTATCATTTATTTTGAAGTTTACAAAACTTTTTAAATGGTAAAAATTTCAATAACAACGATGATCTCAAATCGTACATGGTTGAGTTTTTTGCTGATAAGGACCAGCAGTTCTATAAGCGCGGAATCACGAAGCTATCAGAAAGATGGAAAAAGGTCATCGAACAGGATGGAAAATATTTGACCGATTAAAGTTCATTTTTTGTATAGAAAAAATTGAGTTTTATTTCACACTAAAAAATCGAAATTACTTTCTTGCTAACCCAATATTTGGTCTTAAGAATATATTGTTATAATAGCGCTCTGACTTTTGTTAATTTGGTGGTTTTGAAATTTCCAATGATCGATAAGTTAACAAAAGTTAGAACACTATTATACAGTTATGGACAAAATGAACACTACAGTACAATTTTAGCAAATCCTCTGTTTCATTCCAATGTTGTAAATAAATTTTAAATTTTGAACATAAAATATTTTTGTTGACATGAAAGAACATTACAAACAACATAATTTAGTATATATAATTGTACAACAAAAACAATTTAGTATATATAATTGTAAAAACAGTATTTCTGTAACTGTTTACATATATTTATTCATATGATTAGCATTTAGACCTTGGGTAAAATTAAGTGGACAACAGTCCACTTATTATTAATTACTTATTATTAATTAAAGTGGCTCAAACAGAAAATTTTATATTCAAAGTGGAACAATATAAACAAACGTTAAGTTTTACCTAATATGTGATGTTATTGCGTCCTCAATGTACGTTGATCCTTGTACCAGTACAATCAAAATTAATAAACAGCATAAAGTATTAAATAAAGTAAAGAGTTTCAGTTCGTCTGGGAAATCTAAATATTTCAGATTACAAAAATAAGTTATCGTAAAATAGCCGAAAAATATAAAGTTTCGAAAAGCGCAGTTCATAAAATTTATACAAAATACTTATAACATAATACTGTCAAAAATGTACATGGTCGGGGACGAAGACGTAACACAAGTGCATACGATGACAGAAGAATTGTGAGAGAAGCTCAACGTAACCCATCGACAACGTCACAAAACATTGTTGAACAACTACAATTAAACATATCTTCAAGAAATGTGAGATGAAGATTAAAAAGATGGGCTTAAAGAGTTGTATAAATAGATATAAACCATACATTAATAAAGTGCATGAAAAGAAACGTTTAGTTTTTACAAAAAAATATATAAATAAGCCATTATCATTTTGGAAACGAATAATACGGAGCGATGAAAATAAGTTTGAATTATTGAATAAAAAAGAGAGCACACGCATAGAGGAAACCGAATGAAGCTCTAGAGAAGCAATATGTTGTACCAACAGTCAAGTATGGAGTGCAATAATGATATCGGCTTGTTTTTCGTGGTATGGAATTGGAAATTTAGTAGCTATAGATGGAATCATGAATGCTGATAAATATATTGACATTTTAAATGAAAACTTAGAAGAATCAATTCTAAAAATGGATCTCGATAAGAAATAGATGTTTCAGCAAGACAATGATCCGAAGCACACAGCAAAAAAAACGAAACAATTTTTCTAGAATTGTAAAATAGAAGTTCTTGAATGGCCTCCACAAAGTCCGAACCTTAACCCAATCGAAAATTTATGGAGTTTATTGGATGCAGAGATTCCATTAGAAAAACGCAATAATAAAGAAGAGTTATTAAATGAATCGCAACTAAAATTTCAAAGAATTGATAAACATTATCTGGAAAAACTTGTTGAAAGTATACCACGACGTTTACAAACAGTAATAAAAGCAAAAGGCTACAATACAAAGTATTATTACTTACTTTGTATAAAGTGTCCACTTAATTTTGACCATGTGCAGTTTTATGTTATTATCATTAATTAATAAAAATTCTAGTATATTATTTGTTACAATTGGTTTTTCTTTATGTTTTGTCAAATTATACTTTATTAATTTAAATAAGCAATAAAGGTTTGATTTTTTGACATTATTAGTTAAATTAAATTAACCTTTTGTTATTTATGATACCTGTCCACTTAATTTTGTCCACGACTGTAATATATTCTTGAGACTAAATAGAGTACAAAAGTCTAGTACCATTTTCTCTTTCGACAAATAATTAGCGAGATGTCGTAAACTAAATGTTGAAAAAGTTTTCAGAAAAAGTTCTTTAAATATCTGGATAAAATATTAGGCAAATAAAAAATGTTTCAGACAAAAGTTCAAATTGATTGGTGAGTAAAAATAATATAACAAAAAATTGGGATTTCCATATAAGAATAATAATAATCAGTACATATTTCGAAAGTGGCGCCATCTATAAATAAAATGATTAGTTGTTTTATGTCCCCCTTGAAACCATACAATTTTTGTCTAAAATGCTTTTTAGTGTCTTTCATATTTTCGAGATTTTGCTTGACTTATTTAAAATGGGACACCCTGTATATTTATCAAGAAAGAGAGAGGGTCTTGTAAAAAAATTTTTAATTCTAATATTTTAATGTCGAAAAAAAGAAGTTAGCAATATATTTACCGTACTATTTTTTCAAATTTTCGTCGAATCTCTAATTCATTTCGATCCAGTGGTTTAAATGGTTCCTCATTTAAAGTATTAATTAACGCTGAGATATTTTCGTAGCTTATCCACATAATAAACATTTTGTAGCATGCGGCAGTCATAGTTAACATCATATTCAAATTATCGGTAAAATCATCGGGATTGTTAACGATTAGAACCATATCTAAGATTTGAGTCATTGAGGAAATATATAGCATACTAATTACGTATAATCTGTAAATGTTGTAAGCTACACGTTTAGGTAGAGTAGTCCATGATTGCGGTCGCAAGCATCCAGCAATCGTGACGATTGTGCATGTCAGTTTTAGAACATGCATTCTTAGTGTTTCTGTTTTAATTTTTCTACGTGATAATATTATTAAATATTAATGGAAAAAAAATAAAAATAATACAGTAGAATAGCTAACTATATTGCGTATCGATCAAGAGAATTTCTGGCAGGATCTTTAATGTATGACAAGTGGAGACAGACGATACAAGTCTATGAGAGAAAACTTAAGAACATATATAACTCCGTGGAGGAATTCTCGGTAATATTTTCTGTTGACAATATTTCGTCATATCTATGCACTCATGTAATATTGCCTCAATATTACATTTATTATCAAGGTAAAATATTATTCATAAGATAATAGACACAGAATCGACTGAAATGATTATTTGTGGCTTACATATTATTTTTAATGCATATATAATAGGATGATAGCGTTTTTTCACAATCAGTTGGAAAATATAGTAGAAGGATGGAAAATAGAAGATAAGAAAAGTTCTTAAAATACTCATGAATAGAATATCATTTGCAAATGATATTCATGAAACTTTGAGACATATCACTTGTATATCTGTATTATATGTTCACTCTCTTACATCTATCCTATCTTGATTGTAACTTACAAGTCACTTACCAGTTACTTACAAGTTGTCCAAGCGATACTTTGTAAATAGAGATCTTTCATACTATAGGTATGTAGGTATTTCTATATAATGTGTATGTGTGTGTGTGTGTGTGTATGCGTGCGTACGTGCATGCATATATGTATGTGTGTGTGTGTATGTGTTTGTAGATAATAAATAAAATATATAATAGAAATAACCAATAATATGTTTCTTGGAAATATCGTGTTCTTATCTGATCCATTACATGATTATTATGTTTGATCGTTCATTGTAATAATGAACTAATGCTTTATTGTAATGATCTATTTTCAAAAAGTACATTACTTTTAATTCGGACCTGATAGTTATTTTTACTCATTGAATCGTACAATGAATATACAAATTATTAGTACTATTTCCGATCTGACTTTCATATATGTCAAAAGCATGGCTCTAAATAACCTTTAAAATATTGGTCACCATATAAAATAAAAAAATTATTAACAAATAAAGTTTAATCAAAAGAAATGAGATACCGTACTAGAATTTTATCAAGCAAAAGATAAAATTATAATGATATAGAATAGGATTAAATTAAATTTTTTTGGAAAAGGATGCAAACCTCTTGCTTCATATTCACACATATAATGTACACATACATTCTATTTATGATTAATATTAATAATTCTATTTATGATTACAGTTTTATATATTCCGTAACAGGTATTTATACTTGACCAAGAGATGGATGAAGCTCCTTCATAATAAAGGTCATATATTAGGTGTACAAATGAATAATCCAAATTATTTTAAGCAGTTATGAAATCAATTTTAAATTGAATAGATCTTCCCGCTCTTTTGTGATTATGCAATGTTGACATATAGCTATTAAAAAGAACATATAGTTTGGCGAAAGGCCCAACATAACCTTCAAAAGTATTCAGTTCAGTACATTCGAAAATAGCAACAGATAAGGTGCATATCCGACACTGCATTCTTTACGAATTCCAACAAGGAAAAAATGCTACAAGAGCGTGCGAATCGATTTGTTCCTTTCTCGGCGAGGGTGTTGTATCGTACAATGTGTGTGCATTTTGGTTTAAGCGGTTTAAAAGCGGTAATTTCAGTCTAATCGACAAACAACGCCCTGGAGGCCCTCGGAAGTGCGATAATGATTTGGAACAACTGCTCGCTGAGAATTCGGCACAAACACAAAGAGAGCTTGCAGAACAATTTGGAGTAACGCAGCAAACGATTTCCAAACGCCTACATGAGATGGGAAAGATCCAGAAAGAAGGAAAATGGGTTCCGCATGAACTCACTGAAATCAACAAAAATCAACGAGTGGCAGCGTGTCTTTCTCTTCTCAATAAGCAGCGTCGAAAGTCTTTCTTGTGGAAAATCGTTACGATGAGAAATGGATACTCTATGACAATACGAAACGCAGAAAGTCATGGGTAAATCCCGGCGAATCATCAAAATCGGTCGCAAAACTCAATCGCTTCGGAAAAGGTTCTTCTCTGCATTTGATGGGATATCAAGGGCGTGCTTTATTATGAGTTGTTGGAACCGGGTGAACAGTTACTGCGGACTGCTACCAACGTCAATTAATCTACTTGAGTCAAGAATTGGAACGAAAACGCCCGTATACTGGCAAAGGAGAATGTCCAGTGAAATTGTTGCATGACAACGCCAGGGCATACATTGCTTCCAGTACAAAAGATATCGTAATGAGTATTGGCTGGGACATCTTGCAGCACCTGGCGTATTCACTAGATATTGCTACATCCGATTATCACTTGTTCCGGTCGATGCAACACACCTTGTCCGATATGTACTTCCAATCAGTGGATGAGATCCGAAAATGGCTTGACGACTTTTCGTGTCCAAAGATGTAACATTTTTCCGAGATGGAATTCAGCAGCTGCCTGAAAGATGGCTTAAAGTTATAGAAAGCAACGGCGAATACTTTGATTGAACAATTTAATTTACTTTCTTTTAAAATAAACCTTGAAATGTAGCTGAAAAAATTGGATTATTCATTTGTACACCTAATATATAAAAGTCATATAAACAGGGTGGTCCATTTTAATCGACAATCGGAAATATTTCGTTGGCTAAGCCAGATTGCGAAAAATGTTTCAAACAAAAGTTGTAGGGTACAGTGGAGGATATCTGACGGTGATCTTGGCTTCATCTTGGATTGTCGTTTGAAGGTCACGTAAAGGTCAACTTTAAAATCTCAAATGGAATCTCCATTTTTTATCACATATTCTTGTAGCCCTGTCAAGATGTTTTCAAAACATTACCTACTTTTGTCTTTTGCATAAGCCATTCCTAAGATATGAAGCTTCAAATTTGATATATCGCCAGCATTCGCATTATCCTTTGTATACCGTAGGGAGGTTGCTTGATCGGATTTGTACATCATAGTTTACTTGCCTTCGGGAATCATCTTGATGCCACTTTCCTTCATCGATGGATAGGTGGCCACCAAGATTATTCAACCTTACTCCTCCGGATTTTTATAAAACGCAGTGTTTTCGTCAACCGCCAACGACGCGCCAGGATGTAATGGATCGCATCAGAAATATGTGCCGTGCGATTCCAGCAAACGTTCTTTTGAAATTCGTCGAAAGTTTCAAAAAGCGAGTTCGAATGTGACGAGTTGTCGATGGCGGCGTTTTCGAACATCTATAATGAATGAGCCCCCCTCCCCACACATATACACATAAACACACACACACAAAATCGGCCTTTTTAAGGCCACTATGATGTACAAATCCGACCGAGCAACCTCCCCGCGGTGTACATCGGATAATGCGAATGCTGGCGGTATGTCAACTATGAAAATTTCATATCTTGGGAATGGCTTACGCAAAAAACAAAAGTAAGTAGCGTTTTGAAAATGTCTCGGCAAGAATATGTCATAAAAATGGGTGTTCCATTTAGGATTTTAAAGTTGACCTTTACGTGACCTTTAAACGACAATCCAAGATGAAACCAAGGTCACCGTCAGATGTCCCCCTCTGAATCCTACAATTTTTGTTTGAAATATTTTTTGCGATCTAGCTTACCTGAAGAAATATTTTCGATTGTCGATTAAAATAGACCACTCTTATACAGGGTGGGGGGTTATAAGTTTACAACCTGACGTGTGAAGGTAAATTGGGTTAAGACAAACATAAAAGTCTCATACCGTTTTGCGAGATTCGCAAAACTATCGCAAAATTATCGAGTTATTAATGACAGAAATCTGAGGAATGGGAGCGCGCCAACATAGATGATTGGAGAAGTGATACAGCTACTCAGGCTACAGTGTGGCTTACTCGATCTAACAACTGTTGGCAGTGTGCGGCGAGACGTAGGTCCGGCGAGATAAAACAACGAATAGCGGCACATTGTCTTTCCCCTCACCGCGCATCGGCAACAATTGCTGGATCGACTGGGCCGCGCTGCGGCCTAAGCAGCTACAACTCTTCTCCAATCATCTACGCCGGCGCGCTCCCACTCCTCAGATTTCTGTCATTAATAACTCGATAATTATTGCGAATCTCGCAAAACGGTATGCAACTTTTATATTTGCCTTAACCCAATCTACCTTCACACTTCGGGTTGTAAACTTATAACCTCCTACCCTATATAAAGATCAGAGATATCAAGGTCATTAGAAACTTATATTTTCTAATCTTGTTTATAAGATTAATAGATATGTTTTGCGCATATGAAGTTTCTTTTTACATAAGTTGAAGTACATTATATATCGAATACGACACCCTAAGAAGCTGTAAAATATATGAATATCTTTAAATCATCTTTGAAAATGTTTGACATAAAAGTAGCAATCGATTTTGTTAATAAGATAGGAATCATGTGGATATTATTATGTATATACAATGCCCGCCAAAAGTTCCGGGCCACCTAAATAACTTCTGAATGGTTTAAAATATTGAATTGAAATTTATAGAGATACAATGGGATTACAAAGTCTATCATTTAACCACAAAAATATCTACCACCACATTACAGGAGGGCAGGGGGAGAGAGAGAGGTCGGAAAATCTTGAATGACAGGTGAGATTGAGTGAAGGCTCATTTGAAACGGCTTTCCGAGACGAGAACAACGCAAGTTCATCGAGGTCTCTATGATTTTTTTCACAGAGTTATGATCATTTTTCTTTGACATTCTTTCTTTTTTTGAAATATTTCTTTGAAATATTTCTTTGACATTAAGATTTTGTGATAAAAAGGCCACGGCGAGTAAAATAAGGCTTCACACGTGTTTCTAAGTAGGGTAGAAATACATGTATATATGTG